CCCACTCAAGCAATGAATTCTCAAGCCATGCTTTGGCTATTTATAAGGAAGGATAGCTTGTGAATTCCACTCATCTTTCAATGTGGGACTTTTTCATAAAAAGATCCCACATGGAAAGATTGATGAATTCAATCCTTAGTCAAATAAACCAAAGAATAAGTAACAAGTGTCACATGGTTAGGTGAGGACCACTTTCCTACATGGTCCCCAAGGCAATTCACATGCAATGTGAACTAACCATGTGTCACCCAGCCTTGATCCCCAAGTTGGGTTTAGTTGGGCTATTTTATTTTTGGCCCGTGTCCATGACCCATTGCCCCGGGTCCACGGCCCTTGCCACATGTGTCGCCACAGTGGCGCGCTGCCACGTGGCACGCTGCCTACGTGATATGCTGCCATGTGGCGCCTACCACTAGGTTGCTGCTATTTGGCGTCTGCCACGTGTGCTGCCACATGGAGCTTTGCCATGTGTGATGCCACGTGGCATGCACCTATTGGGCGCGCTTTCTCAGCCTTTCGCATGGCTAGGATTTTACTTGTTACTTGAAGCATTTTCCCGTCTCGCCAAATCCTAAATTTTGGCTCGATATTTGAGATGCTCCGACGCTCGGTTTCGACGCTCCAAGCTCGAATTTCCAACGTCTAAATATTTAACATTCGGGCGACAAATTAATTTCTTCCGAATTAATTCGTGGAGTCGGTTCATATATTTGTTAGGGTGTGACCCGAAGGGTTTAGTCAAAGATTAAGTTGTAATATTAATTATACATTAATATAATATTACTGAACGGAAGCGGCCTCCGCCCAGGCATTCCGATCACTTTACCTTACTGAATATATTAGCTTTCTAATAAGTTTGAACCCGCTATCAGAATAATACACTTGTTCGAAGGATACCATTCTTTTCATGAAATTGTTGTTGTGCTAGTACCTCGGCGCATTTTGTGAATGAGCCGGTACCTTGGAACTTGTGCTTCTTTATGAACCATTACTTTGGTGCTTGCGTAAGCCAATACTTAGGCGCTTTAAGCTAAGTGAGACGATCATTTGTCCGGTCGATCCCTTAATGCTATTGTAATTAAGCCGACTACTTAATCGTGCCAAAATGCTTATAGGGGCTAACTAGCGTACCAAGGAACCCGAAATTGCTGTATAAGGTCCACATAATAATTTATGGGGGACATGCATCCTATCGCCGCACTAGCGCGCGCCAGCATACTGTCGCATAGAATTGGCTCTATCGCCAGGCGTGACGAGGGGTGAAGACTATGTTCTTGAAACTAATCCTCCCTTGGTCAAACTAAATTTATAAACACTTAACAAATCTATATACAAGTATAGAGGCAAGTCAAAGGTCGAACCCAAAGGAACAGTAATGTTCAAGCGCTCTCAATTATGCGCCTAAGCTAGGTCAAAGTCTAAAGATAAAAGGTAAACACTAACCAACTAATAAAAACGAAGAACCAAACAAATAAAAGAATGGGAACATGGATCAACAAATAATCATGACAATTGTAGCATTTCGGGAACAATATGCAAATCAATGGTCGTGAAGACTAATGGTAAGAGCAATCAAAAGAGTTCGACAACCTATCTCTAAGAGGTCTAAACAGCGCCAACTACGAGAGACACTATATAGGAACATCACAAATCAAACTCAATCGATAATTGCAATTCCTAAATCAATTGTCCGTACCATTATCAATTACAATGCAATCTAGCATAATTCTCAAGGCCTATCAAATCACACACATGCACAATTTCCATTAATCACTTTAATCTCAACAATCAATCAACATAATCCCTATATTAAGCACAATCAACCAATCATACAAGTTTCACCGAATCCCTAGCCAAACAACTACTCTAACATTATCATCTATCAATAATTAAATAAAGGAATCAAGAATCAACAAAATATAGAGAACAATTACACTAATCAACAATCAAATATCAAAATCAAACTAAACAAATATGAATATGAAATCACACAAAGCAATAAAGAGGAGAGAGAGTGAGAAATCCTCATTGATTGATAATGGAGATCTTCAATACAATTATCATCTTGAATCTTCAACCTCTCAAATAACCATTGAACTTATTCTTTTTCTCTCTCTAAAATCTACTCCTAAAACTAACCCTAAATCTAGAGATAGAAGCTAAAATTATGAATTCTAATTCTAATTCTCATTACCCTCTCTCTAATCCCAAAAATGGGTATTTATAATTACAAGGTTAAAAGAAAATAAAAGAAAAAAGAAATAAAAACAAAAAGAAATAAAAATAAAATAAATAATAAAAGAAAAAGAAAGTAAAAGGAAAATAGAAAAAAAAAGGAAAAAAAAAAGGGAAATAAAAAGAATGAAAATGAAAAACTGAAGTCAGTGGACTTTGTACGGCACTCCATATGGGAAATAATCCCATGCTTCTTACATAATCAAAATATCACTAACGATCCTCATAATCACCGCCGTTGATCTTTAACACACCCCTGAATACGCGGCCGCGAAAAATGCGAGCTCGACCGCGATGAATGAGGCTCGAATTTAGCTTTTTTTGCGGGGCTGCTAGCTGCAGTTATTGTTGGGAGTTTGCTGGTTGCGGGAAAAGGGTGGTGTTGGTGGCGAATTTGGTGGTTGTTTAGGGGGAACAGGGAAGCTGCTTTGTGGCTGCGAAAGTGGTGAGCGATGTGCTTCCTGGCGAAAGAAGCCTTTTAGAGATAGGGTTCTTCTCTTTACAGAAGCACGAGTGAAATGCTTTCATGGCTTTATGGTTGTCTTCCTCTTTTTCTTTCACTGTGACTACTGACATCTTTGAGCAACTTGGACCTGTCTTTCTAGTCTACCTATCTCTCTGGCCAAGAATAAGAGTCTGTGTCTATGGAAAAGGGTTTATTAACAACTCTTCTGAGGGCGTGTAGGTATAATAGGCGGAAGGAGATAAATTAGAAGAAAGTTGAGTCCCATCTGCTGCGGAGGTAGAAGGTGGAAGGTGCGGCTGGCTGGAGTTGTAATTGATGTTAGTTAATTGGGGGAGGAAAGGAGGTGCGTGAGTGGTGATGGTGGCTGCTTTGGAAGCTGAACTAGTGGCAGGTCGTGCATTGGGGAATAGGGGAAGTGCGTGAGTGGTTGCGGACAGGTGGTTACGGAGGTTGCCATGAGTCGTTGTTGGTGTTGCGTGGTGAAGTGCGACTGTTATAAGGCTGCATAGGTGGCAGCGGATTGGAGTTTTTGTGTGAGAGTTGCTTGAGGTTTGAGAAGACGGTGGGCACGAGCATCACCCTCATAAAAAGCTTGTGATGAACACTAAAGTAGGCAGTCCCAAAACGCTTCCACAGTGGGTTCAACACCACCCGGCTTGAGACCGCGGCTTTGCGAGCGCAAGGAATTGGACTTGGAACATTCACCTACAAAACATCAATATAAAACCAAGGAGAAGATGAAGTAAAATGAACTCAAAATTAACAAACAAAATTAAAAGAAATAAAATGAAAATGAGAAGAATAAAAGAAAGAAAACATTATAAAATGAAAAGAAAATAAAGGAAAGAAAATGAAATGAAAATGAAAATAAAATAAAATAAACTAAGATAAAATAAAACTAAATCTATAAAATCTATAATAAAAAGGAAAAGCAAATAAAACAATGAAAATAGAACAAATAAAGGAGAAAACACTAGAAAAACCATCAAAATGCACAAAACCACAAAATAAGCAAGAAAGGGTAAAATAAAGATCAAAAGCATAAAACTATGTATTTATTAAGAAGGAAAGCGATTAAAAGAAGGTAAAAAGAACCTAAATGCTAATCAAGTGGGTGCCATTTATGACACCCATGAAATACCCCCAAGCTTACCTTTTGCTCGTCCTCGAGCAAAACAAAACCAAGGGAGAAATGATGAGCTTATTCAAACAAACAAAAAGAAAAGAGGAGACAAGAATATACACTAACTCACTTTCGTAGGAATCACGATCAATTTTAGCAACTAAAGACAAGTCATTTAAACCCCTAGATCGCCCTAGAGGATAAATGATGCTCTCGTAAAGGTTTTCTAAGAGATTAAACTATACTCTTGTAATAATAAAAACAAGGAAAAGCATGAAAAAGAAACAAAATGAAAAGGAAAGAAAACAAATGTTCATGAGTGGAATTTTTGCAGATGTACAATCATAAATGAATGCAAATCTTTTGAAACAAGTAAGGGAGTGCACGTTCTAAGATATCTATGGTTGATGGAAACATAGGACATGCTAAGCATAGAGAACTAAAGAAACGCAATTCACTTTCATCTCAAAACATTTTAACACATTCTCCCAATTAGCTTCAAATCTACTTTTAGTGCATGAGAGTCTCTATAGTTCCTTGAAGGAACCAAAAAAACAAATAGATATGAGGTTTCTCGACATCTTGACTTTGCATCTCCTCTCCTTAGGCTTTAACTCATAATGCCCTCCCCCGATATGTGAATCAACCTCTAGGTCAAAAGGGCTTTCGAAATATTGTAACGTAAGAGCAAAAGGGTGAAGGTAGGCTTAAAATTTAGAATTTGGTGGTACACACAAGTAGAAAAAGGCTCTTCTATGAGCGACGCAACTGCTCGCGACGTAAATGACTTTTAAATCATTTGTGTCGCTCCTAGGCGCAACGCAAATAAGAGTTATTTATTTGCGTCACTCCTTTATAAACAAGTGACGCAAATAGCTGTTCTGAGCAACTTCTTGTTTGTTATTTGCGCCACTTGTTTATATAGGAGTGATGCAAATGACTTACTAGACAATACAAAATTTCTTTATTTGCGTCACTTGTTTGTTTAATGAGTGACCCAAATGATGTGAATTTTTTTTAAAATTATAATAATTGCTTGTATATGTTTGTAGTACCTATTTTCCTTGGTAGTGGTATAAAGTAATATGCTAACGCCAATAATTGAAATTAAAATGCAGTATTAATGAATACAAATGTAAATTTTGGTAGAGTCTCCTTTGTATTTTGGCCTACCCATAAAATTGGGAATGACGACATTATATTAACAACCTGTCCAATAATTTACATCTCAATATCCTTCATGCTCCATTAGTATTTTGTTCATGTCTGCAGATACTCTCAGAAAAAAGATGGAAAGATGTTACAGCCACTTTCAATTTCCCTTCCACAGCCACAAATGCTTCTTTTGTGCTGCGAAAATACTACTATTCATTGCTTCAATACTATGAGCGAATCTACTACTTTAATGCATGCGATTATTCTCCGAGTATCGCCCTCATCACTCTATGCATGCCTGCTTTTGTATTTAGTCTGTAGCTTTTACTGTGCTCATTTTATTTTTACAGGTGTCTTGCAGAGTCTGAATCCTGCACCTTCTCCAGTCCATGGATTGTCTGAAATGTCCGCAGCAGCAGCTTAGCCTGCAAATGTACATCAGAACAAGATAAACACCACAAAGTTTCTGTCTCAATGTATGCTTCAATTCTATGTAGAGTGACAATTGTTTGACTTGTGCTTTTCTTCACTTATATGGTTCAAACAAACAAATGCCTACTTACTGTACTTAGCATATCTGGCTGGGTCTTATCTTTGCCTTGCTAAGAGGAACAGGCTTTGTGTCCTTCATCGGTTTTGTCTGTATTTGTTTGTATAGGAAATGGTCTAGCAAATCATTTTGGTAGTATATGTTAGCAGAAACAAGTACTAATGTGCTAGAGGGCTAACTAAATGTTTGATACTTGAATTTTGGAACATCACCAAATGCAATTAGTTCAAAGGCAAATTATAACATAATCTGTACTAGTTAAGTGAAGATAACAGAAAAGAATATCTTACAAATTAAGATTTTTCAAGATGTTTGTAAACCATCCATTAAATGTGTGTTTAAAATAACCACTTATATGATACAGTAGTAGTTATATATTTACATAAGCTAAGCATGCAAAGCTCACAGCAGAAAGAAACTAAATTGCTTTTACAAATCTCACAACAGATGGGCCATTTTCACATATATGCAAATAACCTTGATGATGATACCCACTGGAAATGTTTTCGCAACCGTCTGATATTGTAGATACTCAAACCTCATTTACTAATACAAATAGGTGTGTGCTTTGTAAAAGAAATATGAAGTTACATGTTCACTAGCCAAGAATCCCATCCAATTGTTAGCAAACTTCAAAATGAGTTTCCAACTTTGTTCTGGTATGATGTATTGCAGTATTTTAACATTAATTATCCTTTCACTAGCAGAACTATAAAATATTTTCTAATTAATATTCAATCATACTATAAAATATTTTATAATTAATTATATCTACAAATAAAATTGCATATATTAAACCAACAATATTCAATCACACTATAAAATATTTTCTAATTAATTCTATCTACAAATAAAATTACATATATTAACCCAATTTTCTGTGATTTTTTTTTTATTTGAGAAAATGAAAATATTGAACATAAATAGAAGCAATCTTACCTTAGGTGAAATTGACTTCACAAATTGAACAATGTCGAGCCTAAATGCAGTTGATTTGGGCGAACACTGGTCGAACTGCTACACTAATCGAACTTCAATTATAAAGGCTGTAATTTGCTCGTCCACCCTCGGATAAATTAATCAAGTAATTCACTCAAAAATTCAATTATAAAGGCAGTAATTCACTCAACGAATTCCTGGGGTTTTAATTCAATTTTTTTGGTTGAAATTGCTCGAGTTAATGCTCGAATTTGCTCAATTTTTTTGCTCAAATTTGCTCAAATTTTCCCATAATCGAATTTGCTCGAATTAATGCTCAAATTCCTAGGGTTTCTTTGGGTTTTTTTTGGTTGTTTTGCTCGAAATTAAGGGTTTGTAAACCTGAATTTTTTTCCGATTATGGGTGTTGTCATCATTGCGGTTTGGTTGTTGAATTTGTGGGGTTTTTTTGGTGGAATTTATGGGGGTTTTTGGGTCAAATTTCTGGGGTTTTTGGGTTCCAGGGGTTTTTGGGTCGATTTTATGGGGGTTTTTGGCGAAATTCCTTGAATTTCAGCGTGATTTTTGCTCAAATTTCTTGGGGTGTATGGGTCGAATTTCAAGGGTTTTTTTGCTCAAATTTCTGGGGTTTTTTTGCTTGAAATTTTGGGTGTTTAGCTCTAGGAAATCGCTGTTCTTGGAAGATAGGAGTAGCGCTGTGTTTTTGTTTTAGTAAAAGGGAGGCAGCTAGCAAGTGGAATCCGAAATAACCTAAATGCAAAAGAGTGATTTGCGTCACTCAACTAATAAAATGTGACGCAAATAGTTCAAAGTTTAAAGCTGCACATTACTTATTTGTGTCGCTTATTAATTCGCGTTATTAATTCAAAAACAAAAGTTTAATAGCATTACCATTTTCTTCACAAAAACAAAAAAAAACGGAACAAAAAGAAACAAAAGGCTTATGTGGCTTGAAAAGAAGGGAAAAGGCTCAAACGGTTAGCAAGAAGGCAATTGTAAACCCAATGAACTAATATAATGGAGACTATGCTAGAAAAGAAAAGTTACCACCCCGAAAAGATGGCTTTGTCCTCCCTAGATGGTTCGGTCTCGTGTTTGAGAATTATGAGTCAAGATTCAAAATTAGGTCCGCAATAGTCAAGGATCCATGCCGCTCATGCAAGATAGGGAGAAGGCTAGAAAATCATGATACCTCACAAGGTTGTAGCAAAAACTCACTATTAGTTTCAAATTCACCAAAAGGAAGCAATTGCAAATGTTCAAAAACAATAGAATCCGGCTTCAAGGTCCCAATAGTTCTAAACGACTACCTTAGCATACTCTATCCTAGAATCAACTAAACATACTCTCAAACCGTGCACACTGTTACCATTTAAGAAGAAAGACATTCAACTATACAAGTACAAAAGTATTATGTCCAAAGCAAGAACAAAACAAAACATAATGCAAATTTGCCTTAGTAGAAACAGAAATCTTTTTGGATTTTTTTTCAAGATAAAGAATCATGGAAATGCATATACAAATGTGCATGGAATATTTGAATCAAATTCCCACAAAACATGATAGAAAACCCTCCCCCCCCATGCTTGAATGAGACAACATGCTCAAACACAAATCAAATAATCCACGGGAGGGGAAAACAAAGAGATTAGTCCAACAATATCAACACACGTCCAAGAAGGCATTAACTATTAGAGAAAGAGCAAGGAAATATATTATCAGATGGTAGGTTTGTGTAAATACTTGAAAATGACCCAATTTAACCTTTCAAAGCCAAGTTCATCTATCATTGATTCTTGTATTCCATATGCTAGCAAAATAGGAGTCAATCTTCCTTGATTCTTGATTCAAACCAATGCACCAAAGTATATCATCAAGTCATGTACCTAGCAAAAGGAACACAAACATTTCCATGAGAGAAAATCGATTCTAAAAAGAAAATAAAATGAAAGCAATAAAACATGGGTTACTTCCCGAGAAAGGCTTGCTTAAGGTCCAAGCTTGATTGTTGTAGAAAATAATAATTCAACGCACGCAAGAGCTTGTCAAATGCACTACTAATCATTTCATAAGATAAACGGTAGGCAAATGACAAGATAAGAACGTGAACAAAATTATTGCACGCAAGTGAGAAGGGAGATGCCAAAAGAAAGAAGAAGAGGGATCAAAAGGAAATAAAAGAAAATAAGAAGATAAAGAGGGAAAATAAGAAGGGAAAGAAAAGGAAAAAGGCAAATCCTCCTCAGAAAATTTTTGGTTGGTATATTTCCTTTCTTCCTCAAAAATGATGAAATGTGGGACATGAAAATCTTCCATAGAAAAGGGCTCCCAATAGGCTATTTGAGATAGAAATGGAGAAAAATAGGACAAGAAGGGATGTGGTCAAACCTTTGAGAAAAAGGGGTATGAGAAATGGGAAAAGGGGTAGCTGCTCCCTCAACACAAGGTCTCACATCACCAATGAAGGCATGAAAATCAATCATAGAGTCCTCAAATGAAGAACTCTCTTAATCTACACCTCCCTCAAGCTCAAAAACTCCAAGGGGATAAACCTCAATCTCCTTTCCACCACAATAAACAACCTTTCCTTCAACTATCTCAAAACCCAAGGCCTCAAAATCGTGCATGAATGGAGTTAGATTCATCTCAAACTCATCTAAGTCCCAAGAAGCGTTCTCGATAAAATCATCGAAAAATCTATAAGTCCTCATATGACTCTCAAAAAACAAATGGACATTTCCTCAAAAGAGTCTATATACTCATAGATTGAAGGCTCACAAACATACACTTGAGGCTCATCAAGATGGGAAGGAGGGTTGGGGTTTTTGAAATTCACACTTTCTTCATTCTCAACTCCTTCACCATCACTCAAATGCTCACAAAAGGGATCCTCACACTCTATTGGTTGCTCAAAATTATCATCATCATCCTCAAAACACACATCAGATAAGGATTTTTCACAAACAAGCATCAAGGATGATAATTGGCTTTCTAAATCATATCTTCTTCTCATAGTGGGTTCATTTTCCTCCTCAATACGCTACACATGCTTGAAATATTCCAGTGGAGTCGCCAAAAAACTGTAGGAAATATTTCAAGAATTAATCCCAAACTTGAACCCCACTGTGATCATACACTTAAGTACGGTGGCGTCCAAAGGGAAAGAAGATAGAGCAAAAGAGTCGCCAACAAGTTTTTTAGGAACTTGTAAACCGTTCACGAGGTGAAGGTTACACCCCTTAACGATCTAAGAGATCGTCAACTCCAATAGGTCTTGAACCATGACTGGTAGTTTGGGGATGAAAGTACAAATCCAACCTAAAAGAGATTGAACCTGCCTAATAATAGGCCTCTACTTTATTCTGATCGTATTCATGTGCGCTTTCTGACTAACATGCAGTCAATAAGATTACCCTAAACCTATTTCTCCATGTTGGTTGAATATGAATGCACAAATAAAATTATTATTGGCGATCACTTGTATTATAATCAAATTAACTCTAAACAAGATTAATAATTATCTTATTAAGCGTGATTACAAGTACAAATTCCCCTTAAACATACATAAAAGGTGTGATCAAACAATAACAATAAAAAATATATCAAGCATCATAATAAATCATCATAACAATCATAATTAAAAATAATCATAATCATGTTAAAGCATAATAATAGCAAGATCCTAGGCATGATACTAACAAGATTAAAGCAAACCCTAGCATGTCACTAAACAATAAAGATCAAAGCTTTAGCCCTAACATGATACTAACAATCACAAATATTAGGAAGAACGTAGGAAGCATCATACTTTTAATCATACTTGGTACTAAAGTTACCCTATACATGATACTAGGAATCAAAATAACAATCTAAGCATGATTTCAATATCATAATAACAATGTAAACAATTAAAACAATTACTTGGATGCCTCGTACCTCTTTCTAATAACAAAATACACGCGTTAGTAACTTCAAGGAAAATAATAATTAAACAACAATTAAATTAAATAATTGAAAGAGAGATTTGGGACCAAACCCTTAGAAATTAAACCTTTCACGTCTAGGGCGAAGACAACTTCGAATATGGCTAGGTGTATCTAAGTCTTGCGAATGCGGAATTTTGTATTTGAGAAAAGGCTAGTTTAGAAAAGAGAGAGAGAGAGAGTAATCAAGAAAATCTTGATGAGAGTTGGTGAATCAAAACGGAGTTTTTAGAAGGCTATTTATAAAGAAAATCAGCCAAAAAGATAAAACATCAAAACAGAGTTCTGATGCGTAAAACGAGGTTAGCGCCAGGCGCTGACAATAGCGCCAGGCGCCAAGCTTAGCGTCAGGCGCTAATGCCGGCGTTTGGCGCTAACTTAATTATTGACGCGTTTTCTTAAAATCAGATAAAAAATGCCGTACAGGAGGATAAAATTGTATTTTCCTAAAAAAACGTTCTTTTATTCTGATTAAAACTCTAAATAGTCAACAAAAGTCAATTTATCAATGCTAATTAAATTAGGAATGAAAAGAACCATCTAGAAGAATCTAGAAGACTAAAACCATTCTTAATTGCATTAGGTATGATAAATCTATATTAGGCCCTCATCTAGATCATTGGGCCGCATATAAGACTCAAACCGAGCCCAGTTTAGTAATTTGGCCATAACTTCCTCAATATTCATCGGAATTGGGCTTATAATATGTCGTTGGAAAGCTCTTTTCAAACCCTATCCAACTACACCACTATCGGACGCGTATCATGGACCAACAAAACTGGATCGACTGTTTTCTTAAAATAGGTTTTCAAAAACAGAGAGAGGAGAAAAGAAATTAAAACTATCCACCACTACTACAAAAATTGGCGAAGAGACCCGTTAAAATATGCCTAATAGACCGCTTCATAACGGGTCTCTATCTCAAGGGTGTCTTTGATAAAGAGACCCGTTCATTAGAGATGGTCTGTTTACAAGGTCAAAAAGACCTGTTGTCTTTGATAACAGGTCTATTACGTTAGTTATAAAATAAATAATTTAGAAGAAAAAGGGACCTGTTATTTAAGATATGGGGTATGTTTAGTGTTATCAAACAGACCTATCATTTCACATAACGGGTCTTTTTGTTCTCTAGTTTTTTAAAAATAAAATTATTTTTGCTTTATTTTATGTGGTTTGGCAGCTTTGCATTTAAATTTTGAAAATTTCGTTTTCATGTTTATAAAAATGGCGGAAGAATAAAAAATTGTAAGTTACATTCTACCATTGAAAATAACAATGGATTAAATTAAAATTGATGTGATACAAATAATCTTCCGACATACAATAATAACGAAAAATATTATTTTAAGTTACTGAAATTTAATTACAATTGTAATTACATCAATAAGACTTTAGTACTCCATTTTCTTTCTCCTTTGTTTGAGAATTCAGTCACGTAAACCTGACAAAACAAATTAAAACAAAATAATTAGTCATTATAAGAATTCTACTAGAAAACTTATTTAAAAACACATATAATAAAAAAGAAAGAAAAATTAAATACAACCACAGGTTTTGAGTTGAAAAAAATCACAACATCACAAGCGACTACTACAATTTATAGTACAAAAAATTGCTATACTTCGTATTCAGCAATAACATCCAGTTATCCCTCAAAAAAAAGGAAAAAAAAAAAAAAAAGCAAAACATTTGGTGAATAAATTTGTTAAGAAAAGTATTAAATACAATCAAAAGTTCAATAACAACTCAATTAATATATAAATATTTAGACAAATTCTGAAATAAAAAAATATATTTTTAAATAGATTACCTCAATTTGGATCTGAAGTTAGATCATTAATCAGACAACAATTATTCATAATTCCAGATCTATTAGACTATTATCATAGGAGGTTCATTATCTCTCTACCGTTGAAGAATGAAGTATACCTTCAATTAGGAGCAATTCAAAGGGTAGGATACCATGACGATCTCCATCGACTTGAAGCAGCCGAAATACGTTGTGTGTCGTCTTTTATCCACCTGTAGTACCAATTTCTTCCTTTTTCTACTCTAATTTGCCTTCATTGTTGTTCTCTTTCTTCTTAATTGCTTGGAAATTAATTCTATAACAACGTTGGCTGATGAATTGGATCTATATCATACATTAAAGTTGAAGGTAAATTAAGGAGCAGAATGCAGAAAAAATCAAAAGTTTCGGGTAAATTTTAATGTATGATATAGATCCAATTTAATGGTATTGGATTTTGTTTGATTTTTCTTTGGCCGAACACTAGATTGAAGGAGAATTTTATAAAAAAAAAATTGAGGATGAGGGTTTTACTTTGGGGTTGGAGTAAGTAACTGCTCATTCATAAAGAAGAGAGGAAGAGGGTTTTGATTTGGGATTGGGGATAGGCGGATGTTTTAAAGAGAGAAGATGAATGAGGTTTTTTTTTTCTTTTTTTTTTTTTTAATACGGGCAATGATAAAAATAAAATAAAATAAAGTGCAATAATCGTTGCTGCAGTCAAGATCAAAGGTAAAAGATCCGTTAATTTAGACAACGGGTCTCTTATCACTCTCATTTTTCTCCCACCATTTAACTGTGGGACCTAATATAATAGAGAAACCCGTTAGTTTTGATGACGAGTCTGTTATCTCTCCTTTTTTTTTTTTGCACCAAAATTCATACACATAAGAGACCCGTTATTATTATTATTGGATCTCTTATATCAAATAGACCCGTTAGTTAAATAACGGGTCTTTAATTACGGGTATCTTTTCCAAGTTTTGTAGTAGTGCACAACACTAAAATTTCCACACTTTCACTTCATTCGATTATGATTTGACGTGAAAAGTACTCATCACTGGGTTTGGTTTTTGGGGAGACACAAATGGGTGTCTACAGAAGCCCCCACTTTGACTGAGTTTGGAGAAACGCACGTTTTGAAAACAAAAGTCAAAGCATCGATAGGGACGGAGAATGATTCAGAACGTTCTGCAATCCTTAATCATTCTTGTAACGCCGATACCTGCAAACTAGCGTTAGTTAAAACAGATAAAAGAGTTAAGAAACGCGTATCTTGCACCATCAAGCACACGTCTCTGAAGGTAACTGATTTGTTGCTGTATTTGTTGTATTGATGACCTCCTGCAAGCTAGAGAATGTCATCCCGCTTGAAGACTGCTGCGCTTGTAACTGCCTCCAATTCCGCCATGATAATCTTCCTCAATCCAGGGAACACTATCGAAGATTACTTCGCTTGAAATGATCCTCTTCCGCTTTGTGACCATCTTCCACATCTTAGGGAACACGATCGAAGACAACTTCACTTGAAATCAACTTCAATTGTTCGTGACAACTCTCTGCAAGCTAGGGAATGCTTCCGAAGATATCCTCTCTTGAAGCTATCCTCATTTGTTGCGATAATTTTCCAAAGGAAATTATCGAAGACCTCCGCTTGTCGATCTTTAAAAAAGCTCGCTTGAACTTTGCTTCTGCTATGCTTGTACGTCGGCGCTTTTGCTGCTTGTGAACCTGTATGTCGGTGCCTTTTCTGAATTATGAACCAGTATATCGGTGCCTTTTCCGAATTATGAACCAGTATGTCGGTGCCTTTTGCGATGAGCCAATGATTAGGCGCTTTAAGCTAAGTGAGACGATCTTCCATCAGATCGATCACTTTACGTAATCAAGCCGATTACTAAAACTCGTGTCAAATTGCTCAGAGGGGCTAACTAGCGTACTAAGGAACCCAAAAATATACTGCACAAGATTGGAACAACCGTACTGAGTGGCTGGACGTTCTGGCGCCGCTGAAATAACATCAGCGTCGCTTATCTAGCTGTAGCGCCAGACGTTGGAGCTAGCGCCAGGCGCTAAAGCCTATCGACTGACGCCAAGGTCTGACGCTTGGCGCTAGAGTCGGGTTTTCTTTAAATACCCTTCTCTTCCTCATTTCCGCTGCTGTTGTTCGTGTTTCTTGCTCGAGAATTTCCAGAACTTCAATTCACTCGTTCTTTCTCGTTTCTCAACCAAATTCGCTCAAATTTGTTGCAAATCAAAGCTTATTCCATCATTTTCCCGATCTATGTAAGTTTCCTTCAAACTCACACCGGTTTTAATGAACTTTGCATGTATTTATCCACGAATTTCTTGAAAATTAGAAATTAGAATTGCTTAATTCTCTTTGTTTATCAAATTTTATGCCATGAAATTGCTTGATTATGTTTATATATTTCCTTGGGAGTAATTTGAGACTTTTTTGACTCAATTTGGTGAATAAATGAACAAATCACCATTGTTGAACCTCTTAAGGTCGGGAAAACAATGTGGCTTGTTCTTGATGTTTTTGCTAGCAATTCTTGTCCAATTTGTCACAATAACTACTATAGTATTGCAAGAAATTGTTTGGTTGCTTGAAAATGATGTGTATGCTCAATTAAAATTTATGCTCTGTTTTAGTACTACGTACTCTGTTTTTTGCGAACATAGTATCATGCGGCTAAGCGAACCTTAAATACCATAGAACCTTAATTTATGATAATTCTGCGCAATGTAGCATGGCTAGACAGTGAGGCTCTGGTTCACAGTCCCGAGACGTTCGACGGGAGCACGAACCCGTAGAGGATGATGCCGAACCGTCCACTTCGCTCAGCCGACTCCCTAAGTGGGATGAGCGGACCTTGTACTTTTCCCCCGTCCACCATATCTCTGAGAGGGTGAGACGGGGCATCACAGTTGGGAGGTGTAGACACCCATTTGTGTCTCCCCAAAACCAAACCCGGTGATGAGTACCTTTCGCGTCGAATCATAATCGAATAAAGTGAAAGTGTGGAAGGTTTAGTGTTGCGGAAAGTTTTAATTTCTTTTCTCTTCTCTCTGTTTTTGAAAACCTATTTTAAGAAAATAGCCAGTCCAATTAGGTTGGTCCATGATATGGGTCCAATAATAGTGTAGTTGGATAGGGCTTGAAAAGAGCTTTCCAACGATATATTATAAGCCCAATTTCGATAAATATTGAGGAAGTTATGGCCAAATTACTAAACTGAGCCTGGTTTGAGCCTTATATGCGGCCCAATGATCTATAGGAGGGTCTAATATGGATTTATCATTCCTAATGCAATTAGGAATGGTTTTAGTCTTCTAGATTCTTCTAGAAGGTTCTTTTCATTCCTAATTTAATTAGCATTGATAAATTGACTTTTGTTGACTTTTTAGAGTTTTAATCAGAATAAAAGAACGTTTTTTGTGGAAAATATAATTTTATCCTCCTGTACGGCAATTTCTATCTGATTTTAAGAAAACGCGTCGATTTCTTAGTCAGCGCCAAACGCCAGCTGTAGCGCCTGGCGCTACGCTTGGCGCTAGCGTTAGCGTCTGGCGCTAACGTCAACATTTGGTGCTAAAGTCAGCATTTGGCGCTAATCCTCGTTTTGCGCATGAGAACTCTGTTTTTGATGTTTTATCTTTTTGGCTGATTTTTCCTATAAATAGCTTCCTAAAAACTCCGTTTTCATTCACCAACTCTCATCAAGATTTTCTTGATTACTCTCTCTCTCTCTCTTTTCTAAACTAGCCTTCTCTCAAATATAAAAATTCTGCATTCATTAGATTTATATACACCTACCTATATTCGAAGTTGCCTTCGCCTTAGACGTGAAAGGTCTTAATTTCTGAGGGTTTGGTCCCAAATCTCTCTTTCAATTATTTAATTTAATTGTTTTAATTATTATTTTCCTTGAAGTTACTAACGTGTGTATTTTGTTATTAGAAAGAGGTACGAGGTATCCAAGTAAGTGCTTTAATTCTTTTATTGATTTTATGATATAGAAATCATGCTTAGATTGTTTTATTGATTCCTAGTATCATGTTTAGGATGTTCCTAGTATCATGTTAGGATGCTTTCTTTAGTATAATATTTAGGGTGATTTGGTTATATCAATCATGATTCCTTCGATGCCTTTTATTTTCTTTCCTAATATCATGTTAGTATCATGTTAGGGTTAAATCTTTGATCTTTATTTCTTAGTGACATGCTAGGGTTTGTTATTAATCTTGTTAGTATCATGCCTAGGATCTTGCTATTATTATGCTTTAACATGATTATTATGATTATGATTATTATAATTATTATTATGATGATTATTGTTTTGATTATTATTATGATTATTTTAATTAAATTATTGATGATTATTATGTTGCTTGATTATATTGTTATTGCTTGATCACACCTTTTATGCATGTTTAAAGAGAAATGATACTTGTAATCACGCTTAATAAGATAATTAAGAATCTTGTTAGGGTTAAATATGATTATAATTCAAGTGATCGCCAATAATAGATTTATTTGTGCATTAATATTTAACCAACATAGATAAACAGGTTTAGGGTTAATTCTATTGATTGCATGTTAGTCAGAAAACGCACATTAATACGATCAAAATAAAGTAGAGGCCTATTATTAGGGCAGATTCAATCTCTTTTAGGTTTGATTTGTACCTTCATCCCTGAACTACAAGTCATGGTTCCATACCTATTAGAGTTAACGATCTCTTGGATCGTTAAGGAGTGTAACCTTCACCTCGTGAACGGTTTACAAGTTTTTAAAAAAACTTGTTGGCGACTCTTTTTCTCTATCTTCTTTCCCTTTGGACGCCACCGTACTTTAGTGTATGATCACAGTGGGGTTCAAGTTTGGGATTAATTCTTGAAATATTCCCTACAGTTTTTTGGCGACTCCACTGGGGATACCCTCCATCAATAACAAAAATGACGGAATTTTTGCGCAAAATTGTTTGTCACATTTTCTTGCACACACAAACATGCACATAATAATAATAATAATAATAATAATAATAATAATAATAATAATAATAATAATAATAATAATAATAATAATAATAATAATAATAATAATAATAATAATAATAAATGAAAAAAAATGATAAATATAAAATAAACTCATAATAGTATGTATATACAAATATGTTTAAAAAATGAGTCAAAATAAATAAATAAAAAGCACAGGAACAAACTACGGCGTCGGGGGACGTAAACCTATCATCGCATAAAACTCCGCTGTATGAGGAGTAACCTCTCCACTAGCTCCGGCTCCAGCTCCAGCACTAGCTCCAGTCTCCGCGGGAGGAGGAAAGCTCAACTTAGGACCCGTCCACCCGAGATCAACCTGAGGCTGAGGCTGCCGAGGCTGCTGCGATGACGAGCTGACCTCATACATCCCACCACCTCTAAGAACCGAGGTAGCCTCTCCCTGGCCTACCGGCGCAACATGTGCACCCTCAGAGGAAGAACTTGATCCCTCTACCGCCTCGGTACGGGCAACCTCAGAACGACCGTCCCGACGTCCCAAAGTAGTGCGGCTACGTCTCGAGCTAGACCTCACCTTAGGTCTCATGCGGGTACGAGA